CACAACCATGAGCACGGGCGCTACCCTCTGTTTTTTCCGTCTACACAACAAGAACATGCAGTCCTAGACACATCTGTGCACAGTCTAGGCTAAGCTTTAAAGCAACTGCAATGCTGGCTTCTGCCGTTCATGGCCTAAGCCCTGCATGCTGGCTTCTGCCGCTCATGGACCTAGGCCCTTGCATGCTGGCTTCGCCACTCATGGCTCTCTGAGCCACTCCGCTTCAAAGCAAGGTCCTGAACAATCAAGCTCCACCTGATTAGCTTTACAGGGAAGGGGCTTCAGGCATCAGCAGTAGTAGTAGTATTAGTAGTAGTAGTCGTAGTCGTAGTCGTAGTAGTATAGTATACTAGTAGTACAATAGTATATAGTAGTAGTACAGTCGTATACTAGTAGTAGTAGTAGTAGTAGTAGTAGTAGTAGTAGTAGTAGTAGTAGTAGTAGTAGTAGTAGTAGTAGTAGTAGTAGTAGTAGTAGTAGTAGTAGTAGTAGTAGTAGTAGTAGTATAGTATATCGTATAGTAGCAAAAAGGAGAGTAGTGTAGCAATGGTATATATAATGTATTGTACAGTTATTTAGTACTACAATACTTAAATTTTGCATATCATATATAGCCCTCTTAGACCACACTAGCATGCGGGACACCGGCCAGTCCCTTTCACTTGGAGCCCGCCACGGTTCCATCTCAGCACGGCCAAGCAGGGAGTCCTGCATGCGGCCGGCAAATGTTCGGTGAGTTTGTTGACAGCAGACGAAGCACGACCCAGGATGCACAGCCCAGTCCAGCCTCCGAGGCAGCATCACGAGGCCGCTTGGATATTGCATCCTGTCAATATTCGAGAGATTCATCCTTATGCAGGTAGCTCTCTTAGCAGTGCACAGGACACTTCGGGCGGACCAGCAGCACAAGTGCTGAAACCCAAAGTTTATCGATTGATAAACCCTGTGGTTTTGGAAACACCAGGATTTATAGATTCACAAGCCCTGGGACCCACAAGAATGAGAATCTATAAAACCTGCGGTTCCCGGATCAGCAGGGTTTATCGATTGATAAACTCTGGTGTTTTTAGAACACCAGAGTTTATCAATTGATAAACCTTGCTGTTTTCTAGATACCAACCATTGGAAGCAGCACCCACCTTGCTTGACCAGGATCGGCTCATCGCATGGGCCGCCTGGGTGCATAAAGGCATGGAGGGTTCGCTGCAAAGGACGGCCGCCGAGCCGCCGACCCTGCTCACCCACGTCGATGCCTCTTGCGGTAGGTCCATTCCTGGTCCCACCACGAGTCCTGCAAAAGGCACACAGAAGCCGAACACCACAATGACCATGGCACATCCTCCTCCGCCGGCGGTGCCCTGGAAGAGCTGGAGCCCGAGCCCTGCACGTCGGGGCCCAATGCAAAAAGAAAGGGTGCCAAGGCTGCCTGTGCATGGCCTGAGACAGCTGGCCCTGGCCGGGTGCCCACATCCGCTCCTGCATGTCGGAGCACAGAGGCAACTGAAACAAAGGACGACTGCACTTGCAATGCCTGTCCTGAACTCGCAGCTGGTCCCGCTGCAGGGCGATGTGGTCGCTCATGACACCAGCCATCTTGTTCGCCGTCTCCATGGCTTGCGAAGCGATCCTAGCAGCACCGCCACCCCTAGTCCGGGCACGGGTGCGACCGCATCCTGGAGGGAACAGCTGCCCGTCTGCCGTGAGGAAGCCGGCCACCTGCACCCCCTGAGGCTTCGCAGCACCTGACAGGACTGCCATGGTGTTGCCGTGTGAACCAAGCATGATGACACGACTGCCTCCAGAAGCCCACGGTGCTTTGAAGCTGCTGGGCACTTGCACGAAGCCACCCTGCAGCACACATCACTGATGTCACTGTGCATGTGCTGCCGGCGAGCCAACAGGCCCTGCCAGGCGACCATGCCACAGGCATCAAACCCTATATAGCCTTGGTCGGCACCTTCACGAGGGCCGTCTCCTTTTCCGGAAGAGCACAACCAAAAAAAAAGACGATGCAACCCACTGTCCTTGCCTGCTTGGCCAGCTCCAGCTTCTTCCCGGGTCGGGCCTGCAAAAGCGCCATGTGGCTTGCATCATGTGGAGTTGCAACACACGAAACCCAAACCCCAACCCCGAAACCCTAAACCCTTGGCCTTCTGCTTCGGCTTAACCACAGCCAGCTGTGTGCCCTGGGTTCGAACACGGCAGGATCCACGAAACTGCCGACACATGCCGCACCCAATCGCCTCGTGGCCGGGATCATCATCATCATCAGCCAAGTCCTGCATGTGCTCCATTCTTTTCAAGTCACACAAGAATGGCATCCACAGGCCTTGGGGCTGTGGAGCACAGGTTCCTCCTCAGTTCGAAAGGAGCGGAGCAACCCAACCCAGAGCCCATCAAGACGGTGCATGGGCCTCCTCGATGCACACTTCCTCTTGTTCGTCCTCAGGAAGACATGCACGAAACCGCCTGTGCTCCCAAGACCCGTGTGAACCCAACCTCCTCTTCGAAGAGGGGCTCCTCCGGTAGGTCCTGATCGAAGGGTGTTAAGGTGGGTTGAGGGTTTTAAGGTTTGGTGTACGGTTGGGGTTTTTAGGCCTTGGGCTTAAAATATACAAGAACCCTTGGTGTCTCTATGTGTACATAAGGATGTGATAGAAAAAAAGCTATACCTGTATTGCCTATATACCTATATATATATATATATATATATATATATATATATATATATATATATATATATATATATATGTATCTACATATACACTTACTTATATAATTGCATTTATACAGAAATATCTATACATGTATATATATATATGTATATATGTATATATGAGAACCAATATATACGGAGGCTAGATATTCGCAATCTCAGCATGAACATTGCCACAGCTTTGCAAGTGCTGAAGCTCCTGCTCAGCCTCCGTGCCGCATTCCTCGGCCGCCTCCTCCACGATCGCGGGATCCTGCAAAGGTCTCGGCATGATGGCTGCATGCAGGGCCGATGTGCTCGCAGGCAAGCCAGCATGCACCGGAATGGAACAAAGCAAGCCAATGCCTCCTGATGCTCTGGGCCCTGTTCTTCCTGCATGCACAAGACAGTCTTATATGCCCAAAACAAATCGGAATGCAAGAAAACAAGCCAAAGCCTCGGGATCGTCGTGCTCTCGGGTTTCTTCTTCCTGCATGCACACGAAAGTCTTTTATGCCCACAGCAAACCCGGAAAAGGCACTGCCTCCACTGCAGCTGGCACCGGCATGTGGGGCTCGTGCCGAGAGTCCTTCGGAATTATATGAGTTTAGGGAAACACACTTAAAGCACAACATGCTGGGCAAAGCCTTGTCGACATCCACCAACCACAGCTTGCTCGGGTGGTATCGCCCATTGTGCCAGAACTGCCAGCCCTTCTCCGGCGGCTCCGGCAAATCGTGGTTCTCGTGGAACCAAATGCTGAGCTGGCCATCCCGGGTGTCGATGTGCCAACCTGACCATTGGCTCCCGGTCCCCAGCCATCGCAGCTTCGTGCCGGACTCCGTGACCCAGCGGTGCTTCCGGCGATTGGGTCCTGCCGAAACACAAAGGAAAGACTTTGTGCACAGGATTGAAGACAGCCAGCCTTTCATTGGGTAGAAGACATCTTCCACCGTCACGAGGTCCATCATGAGCCTCTGCTCGGCATCCTGGGAAGTTGCAGGTTTGCCCGAGTCTATAGAACCACAACTTTTGAGACCAAACTGGGTCCACGGCGGAAGGGGTTCCGGAACACATCATCGTGAACCCCGGCATGGCCCCGGACTAAGCAAAGCTAAAAGCCCCGCCCCCAAAAGCCAAAGGCCTCGAATCATGATGCATTCCGCCATGTTCCATGCTGAGCAGCTTCCAGAATGCTTGCATGCGACAAACAAATTGCAACCTTCTCTCTTCTGTCTGCATCATGGGAATGCATGCATGTGACAAACAAATGGACACTTTCTTTCTCACTTCTGTCTGCATCGTGGGAATGCATGCATGCCACAAACAAATGGACGCTTTCTCACTTCTGTCTGCATGTGGCTGATCGAGAGAACACGATGTGCTATAGCAAACCCGGCCGAATCTCATTAGTTCTCGGAGCTGCTTTCCTCGTTCTTCTCATCGTTGTCATCATCCGACTTCTCCTGCGACTTCTCCTGATCATTGCCCGATCGGCGACTGGTTCGCCTTTTCTTGCGGGGTTTCTGCTCACTGCTGTCGACACTATTCTTCAGCCATTTCAGGTTCTCTTCGGAGAATTCGATCCACACCGATTTTGTTCCGATTCCGTCGAACAGCACCTGGAACTCGTGCCCCTGGACCGAGATGGTGAATTTCAGCGGCAACACCAGTGCATGTTTCGATAGGGCTTTGACCACTTGCGGCTTCTTGGACTTCCTCTTGTTCTCCGTCGCAGCATCCTCCTCCGTGTTCAATGCCTCCTGCAACAACTGGTTTGCCTTGTCCTGCCTCGCACGGATCATTTCGTCCCAGATGTCAATGTTCAACGATCCACTGGCTTTGCCTGGCCGCAAGTCTAAGGATTTCCCTGTCAGTGTTTTGCCAAGGGCACGATCCCACTTCTTGAGATGCATGTAGGTCTCACCGTCGACAGATTTCTGCTCGGGGATGCAATGGTTGCCATTCACATACAGCACCATCTTCTGCTCGACAGTCAAGTTCATGGCAGGCAGATTCCAGCTATGCGTTGGTTCCTATATATATTAGAAATGCTCAGCCAGAAGATCCTGCAATCGAAACAACATGCACTCAGCTGCCTGCGAGCTAAAGAAGCCCTGCAGGCGCTGAAGAGCAAGCACGAGGCACAGCACAATTGCAACAACTTAAACTCCTGCCTTTGGAGGTGCTCAAAAGAATGCAATCACACTTTTGAAGAAGCCTCGGTCCGTCCCTGCCTGCCAATGTTGCTCGTGTGAAAGGAAGACTCAATCCCGATGCATGTTCAGAACATGACAGCCAATGCTCACTTCTTGGTGGTTTTGGCTTTCTTGGCTTTCGGGGCATGCTCCTCCTCGTCAGCCTGCTTCACCTTCAGGATATGCAGGGCAGTCCCCGTGCCAATCTCCTTGCTGTTCTTCAACATTGGGATGCGAACCGACGATTGTACGGTCCCGGACATGACCTGAACCATGTTGGCGGAATCTTCGTCTTCGCAAGATCCGACCAAGAAGTACGGCGAGATGAAGTGTTTGCCGACTTCTGGATTGCTATCCTTCGGCAAGGAGTTGCAGCTCTGCAACCAAAACTCACGATCGTCGAGCTTCCACTTGGTTTGCACCTGGACCGCATTCGCCATGGGCTCGGGCTTCGGGCTCCTCGTGCAAACCTTCCAGCTGTATGGCACCAAGATGAGCTTGCCTTTCCCGAAGACCTGCTGGCTCACCAAAGCTCTGCATGGCTTCAGCTGCAGAGACAAGCCCTCGAGAATTTTCTGCGAATCGTGGGTCTTGACCAACTCATGCATTGCCTGATGAATCTCAGCGATCACCAAGCCGGCCAAGAAATCGTTGTTCTTCTTGGGCCCCATGGACTGCAAAGTAGCAATGGACTCGGGCTCCACTTTCGGCTTGAAAACCATCCAGCCCGAGTTCAGCAAATCTCTCGCCGGCACCTTCAAGACTCCACCGGACTTCAGATCTTTGACGGTGACATTGCTGTCGTCCATGGCGCCGATTTGGCCTTCGAACTTCTCGCCCTTCTTCTTGATGCAGGCACCAACGATGAAGCCCTCAGCACTGAGGAGCTCAAGCGGATTCTTGAGGCTGCCGTCTGGATTCAGCTCCCGGAGTCTTTCCTGGACCCCCTGGGACCCCGAAGACTCCTGCTGCAGCCCTGCATCCATCACTTCCGCATCGCCCGCCCAAGGCGACACCAGAGCTGTCCCAAGCAGGCCATTCGCCACCGTGATGCAATCATGGGCCACTGCTTCCACGGCCTTGTACTTCTTGTCGTCCTCAGGGCTCAGGCCCAAGACGAGCTTCGCCATCGTGCAATCCGTGACCCCCAAGAGATTCACTAGCCGAGTGTCGCTCATCAACTGCACACCGGCTCCGGTGAGCATGCTGCGAATCTTGGACATTGCCTCGTCGGCTTTGATGGCCTTGGGAAGGGCATCTTTGGCCAATGCCTTCTTGACAGATGTGGCAGTCACCAGATTGGTGCTCAGTGCAAGCTTCACCAAAGCATGCCTGAAGAAGGTCACTTGGTCGCCCTTCTTCAAGTCCGCCGACACATTCTCCCAGAAGGAAGGTCCCATGCCCTTGCTCTGGCCGTGACTGCGAAGAAACATCTCAGTCTCGGCGAGAAAGAATGCATCCGCACCGCCACAATGCCTGCATCTCTATATACTTTGCATGCAGGCACTCTCCAAAACCTCTTCAACACAGACACTAGATATAATAAGAGATCTACAATCAAAGTGCCAAGCAAGAAACCTGAGTGCGAACTGATACAGCCCTGGGAGGCACTCTGCACACGGAGGCTTCGAGTGCAGGGCTTGTCTCTTGACCGTCTGATAGTCGGGCACACCGGTCTGTCGCCCCACGATGGTACAAATCCGCCGCAACAACTGAAGTTCTGATTCCGTGTTTTGTAAAGTTGCATTGCATGAGGACTGAACCAGCTGCAACAAGTCTGGCCACTTCTGGCCCACTTCAGCTGCGATGACCGTCCACTCCAGGCCTTGGAGTACATACTCAGCGAGCACCGGGTCTCGCTTCTGCACGAGCTCTAGGGAGAGACTGCCCTGAACCGAGATTACCTCCGATTTGTGGGGTGCTCCATCAGCAACCAACCGAAGTGCAAAATTCGTGTGTGAACTGCTGAGGGAGAGCACTTTCAGCTCTCCAAGTTCAAGCCGGCCGAGCTGACCGCCTGCAGACTCAACCAGCTGCTTGTTGAAGACCTGCTCAGCCTCGCTGGAAGCTTCAATGGCAATGGGATTCGTCCGAGTCGGTTCGAAGCCGACAGCGGAGATATTGTCCAACAACTCATGTACGTCTTGAACTACCAGACATGACCCATCACGATTGGCTGGGTGCACTCCCACAGCCTTGGGTGGGATTCGCATCCGCTGAAGCAGGGAGTGTCGTTTGAGCACGGCAAAGATCTGCTGGACATTGCGAACCAGAAAGTCCCCCTTCCGACTGCTCTCCTCCACCAGGCGACTGATCTCCGCCACAGCCTCCGGGGTCAAAGGCATCGCGAGCGATTCTGATCGCAGGCGAAAGTAGATTCCTTGCTAAACCGCTTGAACCAACAGCTCTGCACATGCTGGCGGCTCAACATGATCGCTGCAAAACACATGCCCCTGCAAGCAGCCCGGCTGCCTGCGAGCAATACTGCCCTGCATGGCGCCGAGCCTGCTTGCCACAGCAAATTCAGCAATAATTGCATGAGCAATCCTGTAGATCCGTCCATTTCCGCCAACAACAATCGAAAATATCCCTGCTGCAGAAGCACAGAATGCATGCATGGAGCTTGCAAAACAAATACAGTTGTCTGAGTTCTGTCATACACTAAGTTGAACATACAGGACTTACTCGATATACTTAAATGAACTTATAACTTCGGTGCCTGAGATGCTTAAGTCCAGTAACATAGATATAACTAGATATAGTTAAGTCGGCTATGTGTTCCAAGTACTTGGCTCGATTATTATGTAAATACTATCTGAACAGCCTCACATAATAAGTCCTATAATTGTTTAGCACGAATATATGTTCCATATGTCTAGACATAGGCATGTTATAAGTACAGACTTATGCCAAGTATATATTCCTTTCAACTGCTCTATCTGTTTATAAACGCCCCGCCCTCTCAAGTAAGGCTGTTGCTGCATATTGGCCACCGATGTGACGAGATCACTGGAAAGAAGGATGTAGCAATCTAGCTCTAGCACAAACACCATCCATCTAAATAGGGATGATTGGTCTGCACATGTGTGTGTGGGTGTGGGTCGGGGTGTGGGTGTGGGTGTGGGTGTGGGTGTGTGGGTGGGTGGGTGGGTGGGTGGGTGGGTGGGTCGGTGGGTGGGTGTGTGTGTGTGTGTGTGACACTCCTGTTAGCAAAGGATTCGCGACCCTAGGATTGCTGTTGTTTTGAACTTGCAGGGGGCCTGAGGCTCACAGACAGGATTCAGGCCAACGAACACGCCTGTCTGTTGAGTGTGATATGATCCTGGCAACCAGGCTAAGCCGAGGACGTGGAAACAGAGAACTGACTCTGTTCCGACTGGTTTAAGTTTTAGCGATGCTAATGTAATTACTGAAGATGGCAGCGATTCAGGCATAGATTCGGGTGTCAGGAAGTGAAGCTTGGTGTGGAGATCTGCACAAGTGGCCAGCACCGGGGTTGCCCGCATGGCTGAAGGTCATGCCAATGACTGCCATGTTTTTTGATTGGAACAACTTGACCAAAGCCTGCCTCTTTCATGAAGGTTTCTGTGTGTCTTTGAAAAAGATCTAGGTCTGGAAACAAAACGTCAGGCATCAGGAATGTGTCAGCTGTGATCTCCAACCAAGTGTTGAGTGGACAGTCTGCGGTTTGCTTTGCTCCTCGTCTTGAACAGCTTACCAGTCACCACTGTGCAGACGCTCGTTCCCGTAGTTTTTGTTCGCACCGCCGAGCAAGAAACGAGTGCATCGTCGTGAGTCTTCGAAACACTCTTGACAATTACCGGTGCACGCCGGTGGTGTGTGTATGTGTGCGCAACACTGTTCCCAAGCATCTAGGCTTACATTTTTCACCATCATGCAGGGCAAGGAAAGTGAACGGGGCACCTTGCTTACAGGCTGTTGTCTCCATCATCCATGAGAAGAAGTGGGACCTCGATGATCTCGCTCACCTGGTTTGTAAAACATTTGGGTATTGCAGATCTAACGCAGTCTCACCCCGCATCCGAAAAATCGAGGTTTATGAGGCTCGCAAAGATGCTTACAGAACAGAGTGAGCCCTTTTGCCTCCAACATGTCGTCGTCCTTTGCGCCGGCTCAACACGAGATTGAGTCATTGCTTGCACAGTTTGAAGCTGGGAAAAGCACGAAACAGCAAAGGTTCCGAAGACAACCAACCAGCAAAACGTCGTCGGCTGTTGGACGTTTTGTTCTACAGGATGGTCTTGTCGGCCGTGCATTGGGATGTTCGTGAAGTTGTCAGCATTTCGCCTTGAACAACTTGGACTTCACTTTCGTTTCACCCAACCAGTTACCACAGCGCTGACGTTAGTTCCCGTAGTTTTTGTTCGCACCACCGAGTGATTTCAGAGTGCCTCGTCCTGAGTTTTCGTAACATTCAAGACAATTACCGGTGCAGAGTGGTGGTGTCTGTGTGTGTGCGCGTGCGTGCAACTCCTGTTCCCAAGCATCCAGGCTTGCATTTTTCACCATCATGCAGGGGCAAAGAAAGTGAACGAGGCAGCTTTCCTACAGGATGTTGCTTCCCTCCTCCGTGAAAAGAAGTGGGACCTCGATGATCTCGTTCACCAGGCTTGTAAAACATGGGGTATTGCAGATCTAACAAAGTCTCACCCCGCGTCCGAAAAACTCAACATTCATAAGGCTCACAAAGATGCTTACAGAACAGCGTGAGCCCTTTGCCTCCAACCTGTCGTCGTCCTCTGCGCCAGCTCAACAGGAGATCGAGTCACTGCGTGGGCAGCTTGCAGCTGAGAAAGCAGGAAACAACAAACCTGTTGGATAAGCAAGAGGCCCCTTCACTTTTGCTTCTACAGGATGATCTTGTCGGCCGCGCATTGGGATGTTCGTGAAGTTGCAGCATGTCGTCTTGAAGAGCTTGGACAGGATTTTCGTTTCACCCAACCAGTCACCACAGTGCAGACGTTTGCTACCGTAGTTTTTGCTCGCTCCACCGAGTAGTAAAGGAGTGCCTCGTCCTGAGTTTTCGTAACATTCTAGACAATTATTGGTGCACACCGGTGGTGTGTGTGTGTGTGTGTGTGTGTGTGTGCAACTGTTCCCAAGGATCTACACTCTAAACTTACAGTTTTTACCATCATGCTGGGCGCAGTGGTCCTTTCAGCACTCATTGCTTGGATGTGATATGGTTTGAACACGCTCAATCCACGTACCTGCAAAAATGGCAGTTCAATCTTCACCCCTAAGGCTGTTGCTGAATATTGGCCACCGATATGACGAGGTCACTGGAAAGAAGGATGTAGCAATCTAGCACAAACAGCATCCATCCAAGTAGGGATGATTGGTCTGCACATGTGTAAGTGTGTGTGTGTGTGTGTGACACTCCTGTCAGCAAAGGATTCGCGACCCTGGGATTGCTGTTGTTTTGAACTTGCAGGGGGCCTGAGGCTCACAGACAGGACTCAGGCCAACGAACGCGCCTGTCTGTTGAGTGTGATATGATCCTGGGACGTGGAAATAGAGAATGCACTGTTCTGCATGGATTGAGTTTTAGCAACGCTAATGAATATGGCAGCGATTCAGGCATAGCTTCAGGTGTCAAGAAGTGAAGCTTGGTATGGAGATGTGCACATGTGTGTGTGTGTGTTTGTCTGTGTGTGTGTGTGCGTGTCTATGTTTGCAGGTGTGTGTGTGTGTGTGTGTGTGTGCGTGCCCACATGTCGGCCATTCGTGCAATCAGCTCTCTCCATTTTGCACGTATTGTCCTCGTTCCCGTTTGGTATTTCCGGGTGTCGTTGCAAATCAACAATGCCGCGCAACTAATCGCCGCACATGTACATCCATCCATCCATCCATCCATGCATGCATCCATGCATGCGTACATGCGTACATGCTTACATGCATACATACATAGACATACCATACAAAGCATACATACATACATTTAAGTCCGATTCAGTAGTGCTAATCTTAGAGAGCTTCCCAAACAAACTTAAACGGGAAAATATATAGGGAAGTACAAGGTTGCCGGAGAACGGACAAAAGTGGGGAAATAAGAGTACAATTGGGAAAACAGGAATGAAATAGGGAAGAACGGAAAAAGTAGGGGAACATGAGTATAATCAACATATGGGAAAATATGAATACAATAGAAAAATGCGTGAAAATAGGAAAACTAGGAAATATAGGAAAAACTTGGGAAACAGGAAATTGCACGGTCACAGCGTGGAAAGGGGCGCGGGCCGCGAAGAGGGGTGCGGGCCGGGGTTTCTGATTTTCCAATTTTTTTTCCAACTTTCATTTCCATTTTCCAAATAGCAGGACTCCAAGGTTTCTCGGCTGTACCCTATTTGGGGCCACTGGCGATCTGACCACAAAAGTCGGACGTAAGCGCACGTGCACACGTGCATACATACATACGTACATACATCCATGCATGCATGCATGCTTGCATGCATGCATGCATACATGCGTACATGTGTACATTCGTACATGCGTACTTATGTACAGAATTACGTACATACATACACACATGCGCATGGCCCTCATGCATGCTTGCTCGGAGAGCCAGGTATCGACGGAGTTGTTCTTCGAACAGACAACGCCTACTTCGTGACGTGGTACGGATCCTGCGGAAGGTTTTGGGTCGATTGGCTAGTTCGGGCCAGACTAGGCAGCAACCGCAGTATATGATATTGCACAAACACTTTTGCTGCCGTTTTGTTGCTTTGCACCGTCGAGGTTGGAGATTGATGACACGTCTGCCAGCGTTTCTGCTGCCGCCTGTCCGGATCGTATCTTTGGCAGCAGCGGGCTAGAGGCTTCCATTTCGAGCTGCAACTGCAGTCGTGAAGGCTGTCGGTTGATTCAGTTCCAGTTAGCATTGCTAGCAAGCCATCGGTGCTGTCTCCGAATCTGTAGGCAGGCCAATTTCTCAATGCAGCAGGGACTGACTCTTATGTCCTGTGTCCTAAAGCTTCTGGCTCGGGCTTCCTGGACGTTGGGGAGTTGTGTTTGGCATTTTGCTGACATTTGGGTGGCGGGGCTGGCGCTTATTGTTGTGGCTGTTGTCGCTATAGCTCGCTGCTGCAAATTCCTCCTTCTGCTGTTGTTGCTGCTGTCGGCTGTCGCCGTTGCCTTCCCTGCTGCAGCTGCTGTTGCTGCTGTCAGTGTTGATGGTTTCCCGCTGGTGATGGAGCTGTGAGGCCGGTTGGTGCCTCGTGATGTGGTCGCGTGTAAAGTGTAAACGGTCTACACATGTTTAGAGTCGAAGGGCGTCTGTTTTCAGGTGTGGATGTCCTCCCTCGTCACACAGTCGTAGTCTTGA